GTGCACAACAGATTGGTAAGTGTTTCTAATGGCAGTAGCCAGATTAAGCATAATTTCAGGAAATGGCAAACCAGCTTACATTGTCTCAAATCAGGGTTATTTTCTAGAGTACAGTCATCTATCTATTCATAATAATATATATAAAAAATAGAACAAAGAGCATTCATCATGCCATTTTCTAAATATTGCACTGCACACAATCTAGCATTGAGTGATGGCTTTAAATTCCTGTGGAAGCAAAGAGCTATACACTTATGAACTCAACGATATTTTATAAATAAACTGAGCTCATCCAGTGGGTAAATATTTTAAATTGGGCCACTGAAAATGATACTTCTAAAGTGTTTGCCTAGAGAGGGTAAAATCTTTGTTGGAATTAAGTGCAAATATACAATATAAACATATTTAAAAATTATCTTTGTATTAAAAAAGGGGGAGGGGGCGAGCACAGGAAACAACAACAAATCCCAGGAGTAAAATATATTAGGATCAAGTAAGAATTTGTCAAAGTGTTCTAGCCCCTGCTTTTACTTTTCCAAATGTGAAGTTTTATTGCTTTTTACTATTATACAGATTTTTTTGTGTGTGTGGTTATGGGGCTTGAACTCAGAGCCCAGGCAATGTCTCTGAGCTCTTTTGCTCAAAGCTAGTGTTCTACCTACCACTTTGAGCCACAACTCCACTCCGTTTTTGAGTGGTTAATTGGAGTTAAGTCTCATGGGAACTTTTCTGCTCATGTTGACTTCAAACCATAATCCTCAGATCTCATCCCCCTGAGTAGCTAGGATTATAGATGTAAGTCATCGGCACCCAGCTTTTTACTATATATATATATATATATATGCAAATATATACACATATGTGTGTGTGTGTGTGTGTGTGCCAGTCCTGGGGCTTGAACTCAGGCCTGGGCACTGTTCTTTTCCTCACTAGCACTCACTCTGCCACTTGAGCCACAGCGCCACTTCTGGCTTTTTCTGTTTATGTGGTACTGAGCAATCAAACCCAGGTCTTCATGTATGTTAGGCAAGCATTCTACCACTAAGCCACATTTCCAGCCCTTTCTACAGAAACTTTAAGACTTTTTTTTTTTTGGGTCTGGTCGTGGGGCCTGAACTCTGGGCCTGGGCGCTGTCCCTCAGCTCTTCAGCTCAAGGCTAGCGCTCTACCACCTGAGCCACAGCGCCACTTTCGGCTTTTTTCTTTTTGCTTATGTGGTACTGAGGAATCGAACCCAGGGCCTCGAGCATGCAAGGCAAGCGCTCTACCACTGAGCCATCTTCCCAGCCCCCAGAAACTTTAAGACTTTTAAATAATAGATGCTACATTATTTCTCTTTCAATCCCTTTAGGTAGATGATATGACAGCAGATGAAAGGCATTTTTCTTTTCAATCCTAGGGCTTCAACTCAGGGCCTAGATGCTATACCTATTTTATTTTATTTTTTGCTCAAGGATAGTGCTCTACCACTTGAAAAACTCTGGCTCTATTTCTGGCTTTTTGGTGGTTAATTGGAGGTAAGAGTTTCACAGACTTTCCAGCCTGGACTGGCTTTAAACTGTGATCCTCAGATCTCAGCCTCCTAAGTAGCCAGGATCACAGGCATGAGCCATCAGCACCAGGCTCATTTTTCTTTTTCTTTTTTTGTTTTTTATTTTTTTTTTTGGGGGGGGGTCTGGTCATGGGGCCTGAACTCTGTCCCTCAGCTCTTCAGCTCAAGGTGAGCGCTCTACCACTTGAGCCACAGCGCCACTTCCAGCTTTTTGCTTATGTGGTGCTGAGGAATCGAACCCAGGGCCTCAGGCATGCAAGGCAAGTGCTCTACCACTGAGCCAACTTCCCAGCCCCTCATTTTTCTTTTTAATATAGGCATTCAAGTGCTACAGCTTTTCCTCTAAGTGCTACTTTAACTGCTTCTCACATATTTTGAATATGTTGTACTTTCATTTACAATAATTCCAAATTACTTCCTAGTATGTTTTTAACTTCTTTGAGTCACTGTTTATTAAGAAGTATGTTACTTATTTTCCAAATATTTGGAGTTTTCTCAGAAGTCTTTGTTGTTGATGTCCAATTATTTCCATTGTATTCAGAGAATATATTTGAGGTGACTTACTATCTTAGTCATATATATATTTTTTATTTATTTATTTTTTGGTCAGTCCTGGGGCTTGAACTCAGGGCGTAGGCACTGGGGTCCTTGAGCTTCTTATGCTCAAGGCTAGACTTGAGCCAGAGCACCACTTTCAGCTTTTTATGTTTATGTGGTACTGAGGAATCGAACCCTAGGGCTAAATGCATGCTAGGCAAACACTCTACCACTAAGCCACATTCTCAGCCAGCTTTATTACTTTTACAATTAAATATAAAATATTTTAATTGTATATATTACCTTTTAAAATAAAAATGCCAAAATTAAAAAAATAGAGAAGGAACTCTGAGGACTGAAGACAGAGGCTACTGAAGCATCATAAGCATTTTTTCACCAATCTCAATTAATACAAAAAACAGCCTTGCTGGGGCTGATCATGGTATAAGAAATACTACATAGGGGCTGGGAAGGTGGCTCAGTGGTAGAGCGCTTGCCTTGCATGCATGAGGCCCTGGGTTCGATTCCTCAGCACCACATAAGCAAAAAGCTGGAAGTGGCGCTGTGGCTCAAGTGGTAGAGCACTAGCCTTGAGCTGAAGAGCTGAGGGACAGCGCCCAGGCCCAGAGTTCAGGCCCCCACAACTGGACCCAAAAGAAAAAAAAAACAAAAAAAAGCCAGAAGTGGTGCTGTGGCTCAAGTGGTAGAGCGCTAGTCTTGAGCTGAAGAGCTGAGGGACAGCGCCCAGGCCCAGAGTTCAGGCCCCCACAACTGGACCGCCCCCCCCCAAAATAAACACTACATATCTAGAAAGAAGGCTACTGCCAACAATGAACCTCCAGGACAGTCACCACCAAGCCCTACCATAATCACTAGTAGGGAAACAGGATGGGCTTAATTCTATCTCTGTTAAGGATTGACTTAACCTGACTCAGCCATGTCCAACAGTGCCATGCCAGGGACATGATTAGACTGCCTTCGTCGATCCCCAACACTTAGCCACCTTGACTAGCAGAAGGATGCCTTTTTGATACTCAGGTAAGGATTAGATCTATCTTCAAATTTAGTGGAGGATGGATCAAGAAAAGAGAAGGGGGGGGAGAGGGCAAGGGCAGGGAATAAAAAAAAGAAAAAAAAACATAATGAAACTAAATAGAAATTTAAAACTTTTCTATTTGTCCTGAAATAGCTCTTAAATGGATGAATGCTTCTAAGGGTCCCGGTCCCCATCAACCACTCTGTCAATACAAAGGTAGCAATGACTTTCCTGATACATGCTACAAGCACCTGAAGTTCTAGGGCAGAAAATTAATTCTTGCCTTTGCATCAAGCCAGGTTCTGATGGTTCACACCTATAATTTTAGGTACTCAGAAGACACAGATCTGAGAATAATGGTTCAAAACCAGACTGGGCAAATAAGTCTGAGACTCTTTACCTCCAGGAGAGAAAGTCCATGAGATTCTTATCTCTAATTAATCACCAAATCAGAAAAGCTGAAGTGGCACTGTAGTTCAAAGGTAGAGCACTAGCCTTGAGCAAAAAAGCTCAGGTAGTGACCAGGCCCCGAATTCAAGCCCCACAATCAACAACAACCAAAAACAATTATCTCACAGTCTTTGCTTCCCAGTCTGTCTTGGAACCAAGGTTCTCAGAGATCAGCCTCCTGGGTAGCTAGGATTACAGATGTGAGCCACTGGAACCAGGTTCTTTTTTCTTTTTTGCCAGTCTTGGGGTTGCTCAGGTCCTGGGCACTGTCCTTGAACCTCTCTGTGCTCAAGGCCAGCGTTCTACCACTTGAGCCATAACACCACTCTGGCCTTTTCTGTTTATGTGGTACTGAGGAATCGAACCCAGGGCTTCATGCATGTTAGGCAAGCACTCTACCCTGAGCCACCTTCCCAGCCCCAGCATCAGGTTCTTAATAAATCTTTTGGCCACTACCTTTTTCTTGCTCTCCTGTTGCAGGTTTCTATAAACAAGGCATGTAAAACAGTGCCACCTATTGGCAAAATGTGGTCCCTTTCAGATTGCTCAATTCATGTCACTGGAAAGAAGTGTCTTAATTTTTGGGGACACTAGATCTAGTTAAGCATTGGGTCCCCTTGGGGAATGACTGGAATAGTGTCACAGAAGTCAAAGACTGGAATAGTATCAAAGTGATCTGGGATAGGAGGTGCATAGGCAGGGCCTCAGGGAACATTATTAGAGCCAAAGGCATTAAACTAAAATGGAAACTACCACAGAACATGGTAGTCTCATCTCACAAGGGGTGAATATACACAAGAGAAACTTACCAACCAAGAGCCAGGGCAAAGCAGCATATTCCTCATATTGTGGTTTAGGGATAGCCCTGGGGTCCTTTGCTTCTGGTTTGATGCAGGGAAATCACACCCAAGAAGGGGCTCTGGGTTGATGGGAAAAGTAACCTCAGGAGATAGGACATCTGTACCAAACCAACAAAGCTGGACCTGTGAGGACCACACTGCACAACCGGTTGCAGAGAAAGAATGTGCAATGGGGGAGAAAGGCAAATTGCGCTGTGTTGGGCACATGGTGGATCTCTACAAACACTGATGAATCAATGAACAAAGACAACAGGGAGCTCTTGGGCCCAGAGAGAGCCCATGCTATAGCTCTAACAACCATCACTGCCTCTTCTTTATGTGCCAGGTGTCTGGTGTCCAAACACAGCTCTAGAAGTAGTCATGGGACCTTCACTGCCCTTCTTGAGCCCCTCCTGTCACTTTCTGAGTGGAACTGCAAAGTGAAGCAGCCCTCCTGGCAACCCCAAGGTGACCCCTGGGCAAGACATCACTACATTCTGGACTGAATGATGAGGGTTGGAGAGGATGAGGTCAAGTTTGCTATGGTGACTGAAGGGACGAGTACAAAATGTGTCTGCAAGGCAAATACATGGTGATGCACGTTTATTCTACATCTGGTCATAGCAGACACACATTCAGGCCCCAGCACTATGAGCAGTTGGGAGGAAAAGCAGATCATCACACCCCCACCCACTCATGGCCACTCTGAACAGAAAACAAAGGGCCAAATCAGAGGCAGGTACAGTCCCAGCTCCAGGTGCCAGGGTGTCTCTAAAGGGTAGTTTCCCTTTAGACCTTCCAAACTCCAAGGTGTCTCTGAAAGCCACACCCTAGTCATTCAGAGTCCAGATCCTGCCAGTCTTGTATACCTGGAGCTGCTATCAAGCAGCTTAGGGGCTATAAAAGGGTAGGCCTTGGCCTGGACTACAGAGCTATCTAGAGCTTCAGTGCCGATGGTCCTTCTTGCGAAGTTTGTGTCCCACCTGGGACCCTCTCTGGGCAGCTTTCACTAGACCTTTGAACTGTCCCTGCAGCTTCACTTTCTTCCTGTAAAGACAAGCAACAGAAGGGTCACATCTCACTGACATCAGGCGCCCTTCTCTCTTTACAATGTCAAACAAGCTAAGTATATAGTATGTATGTATAAACTCAGCACCCAGGAGGCTAAGACAGCATAGTCAGTTCTAGAACCGTCTAGGCTACATGGTAACACCCTATCTCAAAAAAGCAAAATAAAAAATCAAACAATGGCCACCACCAGCAGGGACAGGAAGAAGGCCACTAGGGTGGGTGGAACATGAATGACTGTGGGCAGAACACATGTGGCCTCAGCCTCCACATGGTGTGTATCCCGCCCTGGCCATTCCACTTGGGCACAGCCCCTCTGGAAACAGCTTTCCCTTTGGCTCTTCCTCTAATGTACATATGAAGGTCAAAGTTGCACTCTGTCCAACTACCTTTCCATTTAACGGCAACTTTTCTTCAGCAGAAGGCTTCTGTTGGTTATTTAGAACCCCATTTCCCTAGGAACATTCATTTTCAAAGTATTCCTACACACACAGCATTTCATATAGCCCTTACTTCTACAAAGAACCATACTTAATGACCACTGAAGGGAGGGGAACAGAAAAGCAAATTACACAAACTATTAAAACATGAGGAATGTGTAGACTATGCACACACACACCAATGAACTTCTGCAGACATAGCTCATGATTGAAAAAAAATACTTGTAGGTACCAACCACATGTAGGTGGCATGTTGAAAAATCAAAATAAGCCGGGTGCTGGTGGCTCACGCCTGTAATCCTAGCTACTCAGGAAGCTCAGACCTGAGAATCATGGTTCAAAGCCAGCCTGGGCAGGAAAGACTGTGAGACTCTTATCTCTAATAAACCACCAGAAAACCAGAAGTGGTGCTGTGGCTCAAGTAGTAGAGCACTGCCCTTGAGCTGAAGAGCTGAAGGACAGCTCCCAGGCCCACAGTTCAAGCCCCACTGACCAAAAAAAATTAATAAATAAAAGCTGGCATGACTGGGGGATGACACTCCAAAAAGAAAAATACTTTTGACTTATGTAACTATAATCCCTCTGTACATCACCTTTATAACAATAAAAAAAATAAAAAATAAAGCACCAAGTGCTGGTGGCTCATGCCTATAATCCTAGCTACTCAGGAGGATGAAATCTGAGGATCACAGTTCAAAACCAGCCTAAACAAGAAAGTCCATTTATCTTCATTTAACCTACCAGCAAACTGGAAGTGGTACTATAGTTTAAAGTGGTAGAGTGCTAGCTTTGAACCAAAGAGCTCAGGGACAGTGCCCATGCCCTGAGTTCAAGCCCCAGGGGTGGGGGAGGGGAGGGAGAGAGGGGGGAGAGCTGGCCTGGAGACTGAGACAGAAGAATTTCAAATTTAAGGTCAGCCTGGACTAGATTTTAAGACCCTGTTTCAAAAAGAAACTAATAAAATAATAAAACACAAAATGAAAGTTAACAACTGAAAGAGGCCTGCACAATCAAGTTGAGAGCTAAGTCTGAGAAGAGGAACCCAGATCTCCCTACCCGCCCCCACACACCACCATACCTGCGGTTGAGCTTGGTTCTGTTGAGTGGGATGTAGGCATAGGGATCAAGCCGACCCTTCTTCTTCACATCACCCTTTGCTTTCTGCTCACCAGAGAAAAGACTTTGTTGGTGTTCCCAACCAGAAAGTTTCTCCACCCCTGACTTGACAGGCCCTATTGTCCTCCCTCCCCTTCATTCTCTGCCTCAGATGGTCCCAAAGAGCACCTGTGACCCTTGGAAGGCCATTCATCAAGGCCCTCAACTTCAGATGCCAACAAGACCTGGGTATGCTTTCTTCCTAGGCCTATTTGGATGCACAGAGATGGCTCTCCACAATGATGGGCACAGCGCCTCTCTGCCTTCCCCAGGAGTCATACAATAGTCATAGAATGTGCCATACCCACAGCTCTTACCTTGGCCTTGTATTCGGCCCCAGGTGTGGTGGTCTTGGCCATGGGGCGGTGGATGCCAGTGCCTCCAGCTGTTGGGAGAACACAGAAATTGAGAGGCAGGCAAAGCCAGGGCAGCCTCACACTGCAAGGCAAAGGGCATCTTTACTCAAAAGGCTGCTGGGGGCTGGGAAGGTGGCTCAGCGGTAGAGTGCTTGCCTCGCATTCATGAGGCCTTGGGTTCAATTTCTCAGCACCACATAAACAGAAAAAGCTGTAAGTGGAGCTATGGCTGAAGTGGTAGAGCGCTAGACTTGAGCTGAAGGGCTGAGGAACAGCGCCCGGGCCCAGAGTTCAGACCCCATGACTGACAAAAAAATAAAAAGTTAATTAAAAATAGAGAACCCACCCTGATACTCTTAGAAAGGGCAACAACCTGAGAGCCCAGAGAGGAGACTAGAAGGGACCCTATGACCAGATCCCACACTAATCCTCCTGTTAACCATGTACACAGGCCAGATGGCCTCTCCAAACCTACTGTGACTTAGGCTATAGTTCATTTTTTTCCTTACAGTCCTGGGGCTTAAACTGAGGGCCTGGCACTGTCCCTGAGCTTTGCTCAAAGCTAGCACTCACCACTTGAGCCACAGAGCCACTTCTGGCCTTTTCTGTGTATGTGGTACTGAGGAATTGAACCAAGGGCTTCAAGCATGCTAGGCAAGCACTCTACCACTAAACAAGACTCCTAGTCCCAGCTATTGCTCTTGAGGATCAAGGGAATGAACAGCTCCCAGGAAAAGGGGTAGACTGCCTTATGAAAGAGTGGGTAGATGGGAGGAGCCAGGCTCAGGGACACCATTAAAGGCTGGGGGAAGGGGGATCCCATGCCTAGACCTAATATTCAGAATCTCTCAGCCCCATATCCCCAACTCAGTCTGTGTTGATGTCAACTGGGCAGCCAGGTTATGTAAGCTCAGAGCTATGCTGCCCCTCCTGGCAACTCCACGGACTGTTGCAGATGACAGGAAATCTCATATCTCAAGCGAAGCCTCACCTTGATACTGGGGGGGCATTTCCAACTCCTCGTCCTCAGCTTCATTCTGCCACTTAAGCTTCTTCTATAGAAAGCAGTAATAAACAGGGAAGTCATAAGCAAGGGGTCATGACCATTGCTCACTAATGATGTTGGACAAGCATTAATATGCATTGATTATGAAAGGTCCTGTGCCGAGCCCTTAATCCCCCCCACTTTCAAAGGAGGAAATGCAAACCCAGAGGGGGTGGATAACCATCCCACATCACAGTTAGGCAGTGAAGTAGTTCTAGCCCACATCCTAAGCACAGAGTTCAACTCCCCACACTGAGTTCCAATTTGCTACAAATGTAACCTCGGCATCCTGATATCAAACTAGTCCCAGCCTTCCTACCTGGAGGCAGTTCATGAGGACAACCTGCTAAACACTAAAGGACACACAGGTGCTTCAGAGGCACCCACGCCTCCAGGTTTCCAGCTGTGCTAAAGCTCTGTGCACACACCCACACTCTCCCTAACTATCCACTACCCACTTCCTTGAGGACCCACTGGGCATTCAGAGAGCAGGGCAGGTGCTACATCATGTGGGAGGCAGCGTGGGGGCCGAGAAGCTGAGTCTCAGACTGAAGTCAGAATTACTCACTTTTCTGACGACCACCTCTTCCATCAGACTGGCCATCTCATCTTCCTCTCCTGAGTCAGAAAGAAGGTAGGCTTATGAGCACTTGAGGAGTCCCAACCCCACCCTTTCCTTCTGCCTCTTCCTGTTTAATCAGGAGGAAGGGGCACAAACTGTAAGCCAGAAAACTACCTTCCTCAGATTTGTGTCATCCCTCATGGGAGATGAGACCATAATAGAATACAACTACTGCCTTTTAACCCAAGCCATGGGAACAATGGGCCCCTCACAAGTGGGACTATTTCTGAGACTGTGGCCATTTCTGGGGGGGTGGTATGGTTGAGAAAGGATCTTGCTATATAGCTCAGATTGCCTCAACCTCAAAATCGTCTAGCTTCAGCCTCCCAAGTGCTGGGTATACTCCACCCCATATTGGGAATCAAACCCAGAAGCCTCACACATGCCACATAAGCACTCTACAACTGAACTACATCATTAGTCCTGAATACGACTTTTTATTTTTTATATTTTGCCAGTCTTGGGGCTTGATCTCTGAGCCTGGGTACTGTCCCTGAGCTTCTTTTTGCTCAAGGCTAGCACTCTACCATTTGAGCCACAGAGCCACTTCTGGCTCTTTCTGTGGTACTATGGAACTGAATCCAGGGCTTTCAGGATGCTAGCCAAGCATTCTACCACTAAGCCATATTCCCAGACCCTGAAATATGGCTTTTGAAAAGGCCAGTTGGAACAAAAAGTTACAAGACCCTATCTCGCTCAGAAAGTTGGGTTATGGTAATACATTCCTGTAATCCATCATGGAAGCCACATGAAGGAGGACTATAATCTGAGACTGGCCTTGGGCACAAACATAAGACCCAGCTAGGTGCTGGTGGCTCATGCCAATAATCCAAGGAGGCTAAGACCAAAAGGATCTCAGTTCAAAGCCAGCTAGGGCAGAAAAGTCCACAAGATTAAATTTGCAAGATAACTAGCATAAAGACTGGCTTGGAAATGTGGCTCAGAAACAGTAGAATAACTGCTGACCAAGTGCAAGACCCTGGGAGTTCAAACTTCAGTACAGTTGGAGTGTGAGGTGGCGGAAGACCAGATGGAGGGAGAGATTCAGGCAAAATCAAAGCAACAATAAAACACACTAAAGGCACTGGTGGCTCAAACCTGTAATCCTAGCTACTCAGGAGGCTGAGATCTGAGGATCATGGTTCAAAGCCAGCCCAGGCAGGAAAGTCCATGAGACTCTTATTTCCAATTAACCACCAGAAAACCAGAAGTGGAGCTGTTGCTCAAGTGGTAAAGCACTAGCCTTGTTCTGAAGAGCTGAGAGACAGCACCCAGGCCAAGAGTTCAAGCCCCACCAGCGACCAAAACTAACAAAATCTCACTAAAGATAGCATATGAGGATTGGGATGGAGCTCAGTGATAGAGTGCTTTTCTAGCAGGTATGAGATCTGGGTTCCATCCCTAGCACTATAACACACACACACACACACACACACATACACACACACACACAAAACCAGAAAAGAGAATGTGAATTAGGACACACACACACACACACACACACACACACAAAACCAGAAAAGAGAATGTGAATTAGGACACACACACACACACACACACACACACACACGAAACCAGAAAAGAGAATGTGAATTAGGACACACACACACACACACACACACACACACACACACACACACACAAACACACGAAACCAGAAAAGAGAATGTGAATTAGGGCTGAATATGGGCAGTACTAGAATGGATTCAATAGGAATGAGGCCAGTGGCTAAGAACCCTGGAAAGGCCACAAAGGACTTCAGCTGGATCCTAAAGAATGACAAGTTTGAGCCAAGTGTTAATGTCTCATAGCTACAATCTTAGCTACTCAGGAGCTGAAATTTGAGGATTGTGGTTCAAAACCCACCTGGGCAGACAAATCCAAGAGACTCTTACCTCCAATTAATCAACAAAAAGCCAAAAGTGAAGCTGTGGCTCAAATGGTAGAGAACCAGTCTTGAGTTAAAAAGCTAAACGTAAGCACAGGGTCCTGAGTTCAAGCCTCAGTACTTCCAGATGCCCTGCCTGAGAGACTCAGATGATAAGGACACTGGCAAGCTGGAAGAGCCTCAAGTCTGGCTCTCCCTACCTATATGTAAGCTTCTGGGGCTCAGTTGGTTTGGCGAAAAAAATGAAAAGGATAGAAAAAGGAGAAAACACAAGGTGAGACACTAAAGGATTTTGTTTGAATTATAAGTGTACTCTAAATTAAGACAAAGTAGTAGACATGGATAAAGTGTATAAAATAAAAATATTTTTAAAATGTGATTTATAAAGTTGGAGAAACTTAGAAAGTTTCTTAGAAAGTAACCTTAGAGTTATGCTTTTCAGTCTCAATTTGCCATTTACAATGGCCAATGCAAATGAACTCATAAGTGATTAATCAGCTGCCTTCCAAAATGGGCATAGCCCTACCTTTAGTGCCTTCCTCTTCCTCCACCTTGTCACCTTCTTCTTCCTCCTCTCGTATGATCAGCCGGCCATCAGCGCTCACCTTGAAGCCATGATCCTTCTTCTTGCCCCGGTCTGGCCCAGGCTGTGTGGCTGGTGAGGCAGTTTGGCATAAGGTGTGTGTGAGACACCCATCTCTACTCCTAACTGGGGACCAACCTCTCAGCTACTGCTACTGGCCTCCCACAGAAGCTACCCCTGCCTAGCACGTGCCTAACACCAAGACAAATCTGTGTTCTGAGCTCATGCCCCAGCCACTTCTTGCTCACCGAGGACGCGCTGGGCCACCTTGGGATCCAGAAAGTTGAGAGGCTCGTCCCCACCCCCCTCCTTCAACCAGGCCCGGCTCCTCTGTCGTGCCAGCTTCCGTTGCTCCTTGTCCCAGCTTCTTTCCTCTTTCTCATTGTCCTCCTCATCCTCAGAGTCAGCCAAAATCTCCTCAATGCTAAGTACAGAAAAGCCTGAGTCAGAGCACTCTTGGGAGAGATACCAATCAACAAGCAATGCCTGGGTGAACTCCAGGCTGGGAGACACTAAGTCCTCAGGAATCACCTGTCGCCTTTGCCCTGGGCAAGCTGTTCCTCCTCTTCCTCTTCTTCTTCCTCCTCCATGGCAGCCTGGTTCAAAGCTCGGTGCTTCTTGGCCCGGGTCTCAGCTTTCCGGATGTTGACCAAGACCTTGTGATACTCCTCAGGTAGCAGCCCCTTCACCAGCTCAAATCTGAGAGGGTAAAGAAGGAATGGGCTGACAAGAGGTCCTGGCCAGAGAGCACCCATCACAGGCAGGTAGGGACCCTTTCCTGAAATCCCTGGAGGAACCAAAAATCATCAGTTCTGCACCTGTTCCACCCGACCCCCTATTTAAGCATACAGACCCAAACTTGCGGATGAATTTGGTGAACAGGTTCCGAAGTTTCATACGGAAGTGCCGACGCATATCATCTGACAGTTTCCCAATGGCTTCCATCTAGCAGGCAGAGCACGAGAGTGTTAGGAGGGTGGTGTGTACTCTGTCCTGCCTATCTTTCCTTGCTATCCAGACCAGAGGCCGGGAATTCAAGCAGCCTTGCTCCTGCCCTACTCCTTGGTCCAATCATGCTTGCAGAACCTATACCCTTCTTCGTGACACAATCCTGCCTGTAGTTCCAAGATAACAGCTTTAGTCTTGAATAGTGCTTGCTTGGCATTCTACCTATGTTCTCTCACTGGATCCTTGACAGATGCTGTCAACCCACTTTATAAGAAACTGAAGCACAGGATAGTAACATGGTTGCTGAATGGGCCACAGGAGCTGAAGATTCCATTAGGTCTTTTGAATCCTATAGAACACTACCCTTCTCCTGATCCCACACGTCCTTCTGTCCTGCTATACTGTTCATCCAGCCTGGTTCGGGTGACATATGTGGGCAGCAGATATTATCTACACAAACTTCAATAAGGCTGGGGAATTAGGGTCCCCACCCATCCTTTAAAGGGCTTTGATAATGTCTAATAATCTCATGGCAGATCCCTGCCCTAGCCACTCTTTCTATTCAATGTTCCCAGTTAAGCTACAGGTTTTGGAGGGCAGAGGCAAGACAAGTTGGTTCCTACCTGACCCTTCCTGCCTTAAAGCCAAGGCCAGACCCAAAGAGGACATAAAAGAGAAATCTGGAGGCCTCATGACTCAACCTACCTGGAAACTGAGACAACTGAGACACTGCACAGAGGGTAAGCATACAGTCCAGCTTGCTGCAAGTCTGGGTTAGGATCCAGGGATAGAAGGGGCCAGTGATCTAATCCTGAAGGGTTCTTCAGACCCTCTGCATCCATACTAAGAGTATGCAGGGGAGTCTTTCCAAAACAAGCAGGTGGAAAATCCAAGGTGAGGAAATAAAAAAATAGTAGAAGAGGGTCCTGGAGGGAGAGCCGAGTTGTCCTGAGACTCATTATGACCTTGGAAATCTCAAAATTTCTAGCTTCTTATTTATCTAAATAATGAGTGAGTCTATGTACTGGTCCTTTTGCTCTGTAGATTTCCAGCTTCCATGGAGAAAAAATAAAGGGTGGTATAAGGCAGCCTGGGAACCATCCCTTCCTTGTCTGCCAGGTTAGCATACTCCCTCTTCCAGGGCTCTTTAATGTCCTGCTGCTCACAAAGAGTTACTAAAAAAAAATTCAAAAGTTGCTGACACCTTAAAGACCAATGTCATCACTGAAGGGAATGAGACCCTTACCACCAGCTGCACATGCTTGGCCAGGTGCACCACGTCCATGACCACCACAGCCACCTTGATGAAGCCCAGTGCAGATTTGACCACGTCTCGGGTGCGGGAGGCCAGCAGCAGGCACACATTTTCTAGTAGCTGCTCCACTGTGCTAGACCCCATTAGTCCTGCAACATACAGGCCACTGTGAGATACCAGGACCCATCCAGAACCAAGATCACCACACAAAAAGCAGCAACTGCCACCTGCCCCTGCCAGATCAAATGTTATAGATAGAAGCAAACATTTGGAGCTTTCCCATGTGCCTGACACAATTCTAATTGCCATCCAAGGAGTGCCACTCATGGAGCGACCTTATGTTCATTTAACCACTCCAAGTCTCTCCTAAACTTCAGATAGGAAACAGAGGTTCCAGGAAGTTAGTAATAAGGCTCAAGGGTTTGTTGTTGTTGTTGTTGGTTGTGGGGCTTGAACTCAGAGCCTGAGTGCTGCCCGAGTCTCTGTGCTCTAGTCTAGCGCTCTACCACTTGAGCCACAGTGCCACTTCTGGGTTTTGAGTTGTTAATTGGAGATAAGAGTCTCACAGGGACTTTTCTACCCAGGGCTGGCTTCGAACAGCGATCCACAGATCTCAGGCTCCTGAGTAACTAGGATTACAGGCATAAACCATCAGCGCCCAGCTTAAGAGGTTCAAGGTTTTGTGTGGTTGGTGAAAGGCAAGACTAGGACTACAATCCAGACATTTTTCTACCTTTTTCTGCCTGCTCTGATAGGATGGTAGGGCTGCAGGCTGGGGGCAGGAAAGATAGGTTCTGGCTCTACTTCCTAACTCCCGGTACCTTATCCTCATTCTGGTTCCTTAAGAACTTCCCAGACAGGCACATACTCACCTTTAAACTCAAACAGGAGGTGGGTCAAAGCCAAGATGCTACAGCTCACCATGGTCACTGCACCCACAAGGCCAGGATAGATAAGGATGAGGTAGCGCTGCAGAGCCTCTAGGGGAAGAGACAAGGACAAGTCACATAAGGCTCTCAGGGCAGGGAGTGGGGAGATGGCGGGGAGGGGGGTGGAAATGAACAGACACGCAGGCCAGAGAAGAAAACCTTGGTCAGGGCCAGTTCAGAGCAAAACAGATTTCTCCAACTTGCCCTTTGCCCAGAAGCTCGGAGGGGTGTTTCCTCATAGCCTGTATATAATGTGCAGCCCACAACCTCACCTTCTTGGTTGGGGCCAAACCTCAGGAAAGCATGGCCCATCTCCACCAGCAGGGCAAAAGCATTCTTCCGAGCACCCACCGACACCTCCTTGGTGCACAGAATCACCTGGCCAGACAGCATTATTAGTATACATCTACCTCCCATTGCCCTGGGCTGGACTGCCCAAAGCATGAAGCACCCATATGCCCAGCAGCAAATCAAGCCCACCCTTACCTTTCCCCACTGCCCCCCCAAATCATGATAGGTCCTTGGAAACCATACTCCAGGAATGCCCAAAACACCCTCCTACCCTCCCCTCACCTCTGGGACGAGGGCGGCAATGAACTCCTCGTGCTCAGCTGACAGCTTCTTCACAATATGTATGAGGCACTTCAAACGGGGCTGCAGGCAAGGAGAAAATACCCAGGACCCCTCAGTGCCACCATCACCCTCCTCAAGCTCCCCAAGGACTCCTTTCCTGGGGTCACCCATTCTCAGTTAGCAGAGCTGTGCCCTAGCATCCTTACCCTTTTAGCAGGTGAGGACGTGCTCCGCAAAGAGTCCAGAAGGGTCTTCTTCAGGTCATCTAGGTGGTTCTGCACAAACTGAGCCCCAGGGCCCTGAGGGCTGGCACACACCTCCTCCAGCACTCGGTAAGCCTTCTTCTGTACCCCATGGGCCTTGCTCTACAAAAGGCACATGGCAGCTAAGAACTAATAAGGAGATTGGACTGTAGCCCCTTACACTGACATTCTATAAGCATTCTAAAAGCATTCAGAAGAAGTTAGCCCTGACCTTCTGGTATGGTATTCATGAGTCTGTGATGGCTACCTCTAAATAATGTGCACTCCAGCATAAGCTGGTGGCACCTGAGAATGCCAAGGAATGTGTGCCTGCTGCTTCCCGATTGAAACATTCCTCTCTGCTTGAACATTCCATTCAATTTTGAAGGAGCCCCCTCGGATGCCGGACTTTGGCAATCTGGTAAGAGTTTGTTTTGTTTTGTTTTTGGTGCTAATTTTCCTGCCTGTGTTTGCCTCAAACTGTGATCCTCAGATCTCAGCCTTCTGAGTAGCTAGGATTAAAGGTGTGAGCCACTGGCACCCAGCAAAGAGTGCTATTAAACTGTGGCAATGGGGACAGCTTTCAGGAAAGCAGGCTAAACTGAATTCTGTATGCCTGTGAGCCACATGACAGCACTTCAGTCGAAAGACTCAACATGAGCAGAGGCAAATACAGCATTTGTTTTATCTGAAAACTTGGGGCTGAGTTTAGTTCAGCAGCAGAGTACAGGCCTACTTTGCACCAGACCCTGGGTTTCATTCCTATCACTAGATGGAGGGCAAGGTTGGAGTGGAGGAATCTATCCTAGACCCTTATAGCAGCCTAAGTAGGCTGTAGTGAAGGTGAGGACAGAGAGAACAGGCTGGGAAGATAAGGTCAGAGAGACTGAGACAGGCCCAGAGTAGGAGCAGGCAAAGAAGCAAGGCTTCTGTTCTACAAGACACTTCAGCAAGTCAGAGCACAGTTGTGCATTTTATCAATTTGGACCTATGACAGGGCAGGGAAGATGGGTACAAGGGGAAACCACTACAGGACAAAGCAGATGGGGCTTAATCTGGGTGAAGAGGAAATGATAAAGATAAGACAGGCCTCTAAATTCTCTTGGGGCCCCATCTTCCCTCAAGTGAAGTTGTGTGGAACTCACCTCTAAATAGGGCCGGATGGTGGAGTATAGCTGGCTGATGGCAGCTTCATCAGCATGAGGAGCCAAGGCTACAACCAGGTCCAGGACAGACAATCTGCTCAGAACAGGAGAACAGGGAGGGGCTGAGGGAAGCTGGAGAAGGGCAAGGCTATCATGTTCTTATGTTTACCAGCTACAGGAACATGGGAGAAAGTCAGGATGAGGGTAGGGGCCTGGAAGGAGTTTGTGAACAACCATAGCTAGCACCTAATCAAGACTTGTAATATACAGGGTACTCCTCCTGGTGAATTCCAAATATATCCCCTTCAAACCTCACATAAGCTTGTTGTAGGCTCTATTATACCATCTTACAGATGAAGACTCAGGGCATAGATTGGGTAACTTGTGGAGCTGAGATTTGAATCAGGCAGCATGTCCTTTGTCCTTGCTCAGACCTATCAGGCTAAAACACCTATAAGAAGGAGCTACTGGGGGCTGGGAAGGTAGCTCAGTGGTAGAGTGCTTGCCTTGCATGCCTGAGGCCCTGGGTTCGATTCCTCAGCACCACATAAGCAAAAAGAAAAAAGCTGGAAGTTGCACTGTGGCTCAAGTGGTAGAGCGCTAGCCTTGAGCTGAAGAGCTGAGGGGCAGCACCCAGGCCCAGAGTTCAGGCTCCACGACCGGATCAAAAAAAAAAAAAATTAAAAAAGGGGCTACTGGCCTTTTGGTAGAGCTGGGACGTTCTCAATCTCAAAGAATTACAGAGGGTCTGCTGGATGCCTCCCCAGCTCCGAGTACCCAGTTCAAACAGGGAAGCCCTAAGAACATTACCTGGTAAAATCAGAGCTGGCAGGGTCAAGCACCTTCTCACTGGCTTTTTCCAGGAAACCATTCACCAACTGGCAGTCCCCAGAAGAGAAAAAAAGAGTAACCAGAGTAACAGTTGCCAGAGCTGCTTATACAGCTTAGGAGCCTCCAGTCCAGCCTGAGCCACAACTGCTGTGTGTGGCCCTCTGTTCTCCAAATGTCAGAGGTCTTAATAGTATGGCAGATGGGTTCTCAGCCTTTCCAACGTGCCCAACCTATCAGAGCCCACCTAAGAATAAATCCCTCTCACAGCAGCTCACCTGAGACTCTGTGATGGTAAGGTAAGTTTTGATGGTTTCCAGTACAGCCCGACGAGGGGCTGGAGTGTCCTCCTCTGCAACAGGCTGCCCATACAGGTTGAAGAGGATTGGCAGAAAGTTCTTGGCAAAGCGGCTCACTTCAGCACGGTCAGCATCTGGCAGGAGGATGGAAGTCTGCATCAAAGGGATGGAGCTGACCCTGTCTCAGTGGTCACTGGGGTTCCCTTTAGAGGATCCAAAGGCAATATTGGGAACCCACACATTTGGAGCTCTTATGTTCTAGAAGTTGAGGCCAAGGCACACAGAATAAGGTGATCAGCTACAGTGGTCAGGGTGAGTCTGGGCTCCTATACCAACCTTCATATTGACTACACAGATCTCCAGTGACTGTCAATGCATTAGGAAAAGGAGTGACAGGGAAGACTATTGCCAGGTGTCTTTTGAGACCCACCTGTAGCACAGCCACAGTGAGCAAAGAGCTACAGAAGGTGACTTCTGCAGGCTGGAGTGACAATGAGCTACAGCAAGCCAGCGGATAAGGACAGGGATCTGTATTATTCTTTTATCAGCTCCTACCAAGGTGCTCAGACATACCTCTCTCACAGCCCTTGGTGATGAGGGTGCGCAGGGCTTGGCACACAGTGACTCTCAGGTCTGGGCGCTCACTGATAGCTGTGCCCAATGTCCGTGCCAGACCTTTGAAGGAGGCAGCCACATCAGTAGGCCTTGTGCAGAACCCAGGCAGAAGGGTCCAGATCTGGGGAAGGAGTAAGAAAGAAGAATGACACTAGTTACTCATGCTCTTACATGCCTCTCCTCTCCATGTCCTCCTTTTCAGCTGACTCTTACCTGCCACTGTAATGTGTCATAGATCTTGGACTCCACTGTGCTGCCTGCCTGGGCAAGGTCCATTGCTGAAGTGTGCGACAAATACATGGTATGATGCTGGGAACCTCCTGACCATTAGACCTCATTATATCAAAACCAAAAGTCCAACAATAAGGAAGGGAATATGGGTGACATCTCCCATAAATTAAATCATAGCACTTACTTTTAAGCACTAAAAACATGCAAAATGGAAAGAACATGCCTCTCCAGGATAACCTGTCCTCAAGACTTTCTTACTCTTCTTTAAGAACATGAATACAGGGGCTGGGAAGGTGGCTCAGTGGTAAAGCGCTTGCCTTGCATGCTTGAGGCCCTGGGTTCAATTCCTCAGCATCCATAAGCAAAAAAAAAAAGCCAGAAATGGAGCTGTGGCTCATGTGATAGAGCGCTAGCCTTGAGCTGAAGAGCTGAGGGGCAGCACCCAGGCTCAGAATTCAGGCCCACGACCGGACCCCCTCCAAAAAAGGAACATGAATACATTTTAAAATATAGCCAGAAGCCGGGCGCCAGTGGCTCACGCCTGTAATCCTAGCTACTCAGGAGGCTGAGATCTGAGGATCACGGTTCAAAGCCAGCCCGGGCAGTTAAGTCCGTGAGACTCCAATAAGACTCCAATAAAACCACTAGAAAACGAGAAGTGGTGCTGTGGCTCAAGCTGTAGAGTGTTCACCTTGAGCTGAAAAGCGCAGGGACAGTGCCCAAGCCCAGAGTTCAAGCCCCATAACCGACCAAAAAAAAAAAAAAAATATATATATATATATATATAAAACCAGAAATGTACTATAACTGAATCACTTGTTCCATTTATCCATTCATTCATATTCCTATTTCTTTATACACATAGCATATCCCTCTAGTTCTGCTAGACCTAATTTAAATGGAACTCTGCAGAGGATGTGTAGATAGTGTCAGATTCCTTGCTATTGGAATCCAAAATGCTAGGAACAACTTTGCTTCCATGTACACGTTTGTATTAAACAACTTCTTCAAGACAGGTGCCTAAACAGAATACCACTAGAAAGTATGGAATCTTGAGGCTGGGAAGGTGGCTCAGTAGAGTGCTTGCCTAGTATGCATGAGGCCCTGGGTTCAATTCCTCAGTACCACATAAACAGAAAAGGCTGGAAGTACACGCTGTGGCTCAAGTGGTAGAGTGCTAGCCTTGAGCTGAAGAGCTGAGGGACAGCACCCAGGCCCAGAATTCAAGCCCCATGACGGACAAAAAGAAAAAAGAAAAAGAAAAGGAAAGAAAGTATGTAATCTCACCAGGTGCTGGTAGCCTGTTATCCCTAGCTACTCAGGAAGCTGAAGTCTGAGAGTCTCCATTCAAAGCTAGCCTAGGTAAGAGAAGTCCCTAATACTTTTTTTGTTGTTGTTGGTCATGGAGCTTGAACTCTGGGCCTGGATGCTGTCCCTGAGCTCTTCAGCTAAATGCTAGTGCTCTACTACTTGAGCCACAGTGCGACTTCCCATTTTCTGAGTGGTTTATTGGAGATAGAAGTCTCACAAACTTTCTTGCCAGCCTCCTGAGTAGCTAGGATTACAGGTGTGACCACTGGTGCCCGGCTCCATAACACTCTTATCTCCACAGCACATAAATGTGTATGTGTATATATGTACACACACACACACACACACACACACACACACTCACTCACTCACTACCATCTTTCAGTATCTTTGAAGGTCTGGTTTTAGGAACCCCATAGAAACCAAGAGCAAGAAATGTTGAAGTTTTTTTTTTTTTTTTTTTGGTTGGTTGTAGATCTTGAACTCTGGGCTTGGGTGCTGTCCCTGAGCTCTTCAGCTCAAGGCAAATGCTCTACTGCTTGAGCCACAGCGCCACTTCCGGTCTTCTAGTTTTTATTGGAGATAGGAGTCTCACGGACCTTCCTGCCCGGGTTGGCTGGTTTTGAACCGCGATCCTCAGATCTCAGCCTTCTGAGTAGCTAGAATTACAGGTGTGAGCCACCGGCGCCCAGCTTGAAGTTTCTTATACAGAATGATGTGCTATTTCCATGTAACCTACACATATCCTCCCATATACTTAAAACCTCTCTAGAATACTTGTAATACCTAATATGGTATAACTCTAGTTCTGTAGTTTAAGTTGAAGATGTAAAAACCAAGGATACAGAGGGCCCTTTGTGGGGCTACTCTGGGCCTGGGCACTGTCCCTGAGCTCCTTTTTGCTCAAGGCTAGTACTCTACCACTTGAGCTACAATGCCACTTCAGCTTTATCTGTCTTTAATTAGAGATGAGTCTCACAGGCTTTCTTGCCTGGGCTGGCTTCAAATTGCAATCCTCAGATCTCAGCCTCCTAAGTAGTTAGGATATAGATGTGATCCACCAATGTCTGGCCTAAAAAATTTTTTTGTAAATCTATCTCCAACCAAGTTGGATGGCAGTGGCTCATGCCTCTAACACCCTAGCTACTCCAGGAAGCCAAGATCTGAGAAGCATGATTTAAAGCCAGACTGGGCAGGAAAGTCTGTGAGACTTATCTCCAAGTAACAACCAAAAATCCAGAAGTAGATCTGTGGCTCAAGTGATAGAACACTAGCCTTGGGCAAAAAAGCTCAGTGACAGTACCTAGGCCCAAGTTCTATCTCAACAGTTTCCACCAGAAAGAAGGGACACCGGTTCCCGTGATCCAAAGGGAAAAAACAAGACCCAGGAAACAGAGGTTCCTAGAGGAGGGCACTCAAGGACTCACTGACCATTTGCTTGGCACAAATTCTGCCAAATGTGCTGGTATGGTGGTCAGCTGATCATTTCAGCTGAGGCTCCAGATAGCAGAGGGCCTCGGCTATACCAGGTAAGGGCTTTGTACCTTTACTCTTCAGGGTGTTAGCCAGTGGCAAGAAGTAGGTGGTGAAGAAAGCAAGCCGTGTTTCCCGTACATGGTCCCGGATGACAGGCAGCAGCCAGCTCCGGGGGAAATCCAGAGTCTCTCTGGGAGCAGAAATGAAGAAAAGGTGACAAGTCAAAGGCCCTTAACGGAGAATTCAGTGGACTCTTCTCCAGGGAGAACAAGCCATCCGACTCTCCTGGGGCTCCCACAATCTAGGTTACACTTACTCAGAGCCATCAATCTCCAAAGGCACAGCCTGTAACACCACCTCAGGTCCCATGCTGGTCACTGCAGCCCCCACTGCCTGGTCCAGGGCTGCTGTGTGGGGGAAGTGAGGGGAGAGGCGCAGGTCGCACAGGGACTGGAGGCACTAGAGCAAAGGGATGATACGAAGTTACCCAGTAGGACATGCTTTCCGGCTGGGCTGTGGCTGAGCAGTAGAGTGCCTACCTAGCATAAGCTGGGTTTGAGTTTGATCCCCAACACCACAAAGAACAAAAATATCATAAAATGTAGGTTTATTTGCTTATTTTAATGCTGGCGTGGGGACTAGAGCTAAATCAATCAAGAAAAAAGTTATTTTTCTCTATTTGCCCTTACTGCAGATCCATCTGACAAGCAGAGATTCCAGAGCAGGCCAATCTCCAAAAGGAGATTGGAGATTCTAGGTCCAGGTAACACCCCATAGTGGAAACCTACAACAGCTTAGCTGACCCAATGAGGTGTCCTATCCTCCTAAAGCCTAGGGCTTTAAATTTTTTTCCTTTCAGCCAGGTGCTGGTGGCTCATGCCTGTAATCCCTAGCTACTCAGAGGAGGCTGAAATCTGAGGATTGCAGTTCAAAGTTAGACCAGGTAGGAAAGTCTATGAGACTCTTATCTCCAATTAACAATCAATCAAGATGGCAAAAGAGAGCTGTGACTCAAGAGGTAGAGTGCCAAGCCTTAACCAAAAAAGCTTAAGGGACAGTGCCCAGGCCCGAATTTACACCCTAGTACCAGCACAAAAAAAATAAAATAAAATAAAATTCCTTTGACAATATGTAAAAAATTAGGAAATTTCACACACAGATGTAGATTTCCAATTTACCTTGAAAAATGTCAGAAACTGTCAAAAGATTACTAACAGGTAACTAAGACAGATCAGCAGGCACAGAAGCTGAGCTGTATCACAGCCCCATCAGCCCATCAACTCCACTTCTCATGGCCTGCCTAGCCTCTTGTAGAAGTCTCATTTGCCAGCCTAACCATCAGGGTTTGGGCCAGACCCTCCAACGGAGGGACCCTCAGTCTCAGATGTTTTCTTCTCCCCCCACCCCACCCCCCCAGTCGTGGAGCTTGAACTCTGGGTTTGGGTGCTGTCCCTGCACACTTCAGCTCAAGGCGAGTGCTCTACCACTCGAGCCACAGCGCCACTTCCGGTTTTCTAGTGGTTTACTAGAAATAAGAGTCTCACAGACTTTCCTGCCCGGGGTTGGCTTTGAACTGTGATCATCAGATCTCAGCCTCCTGAGTAGCTAGGATTACAGGCGTGAGCCACTGGCACCCAGCCCAAGTGTCTTCTTTTTACTAAGCCAGCAGTGGAAGGAGTCAGTGAGGAAGGCCCCATACAACCAGGAGCTGACTCTTCTGCTGACAAGGAATCTGGCCCTACCCTATTCTGGAGTATGATCTACTTAGGACCCAGAGAGAGAGAGTGAGAGAGAGAGAGAGAGAGAGAGGAGAGAGAGAGAGTCTGTGTGTGTTAGGGGTGTGTGTGTGTGTAGGAGGTGACCTCTCACCCATCTCCCTCTTCTTCCCACACTGCCCAGTCAGTGCCCTGGGAACATGATACTGGGCACCTACTATGTACTGTTGGTATGAGTCCAGAATTTAGAGACAGCAACCTGGGGCCCTCCAGAAGCCCTACCCTATTCTGGAGTATGATCTACTTAGGATCCCTAGAGAGGTAGGGGTGTGTGTGTGTATGTGTGTGTGTGGTGACCTCTCACCCATCTGTGTGTGGGGGGGGGGGTGACCTCTCACCCATCTCCCTCTTCTTCCCACACTGCCCAGTCAGTGCCCTGGGAACATGATACCGGGCACCTACTATATACTGTTGGTGTGAGTCCAGAATTTAGAGACAGCAGACCTGGGGCCCTCCAGAAGCTCACAGTCCAAGGGCCCCATCCACTTCCAGCTTACCTTCTTCATCACAGGATGAGCTTGCCTCCCACACACCTCAAAGAAGACACACAGTAACTGCAGCACAAAGCTCCAGGATGCGTGGAATTTATACGTCAGGCCCTCCTCCACTGCCCTGCCAGGATGCAGATACAGTCAGGGCCACAAGATCAGCAGATGACAATGACTGGCAGGCACCATGAGCAGACCCCCCCCCCCAGCTGGTCAGGAAGGGAATGGCTCAGAGAAAGGCAAAAAGTACAACAGAAACTAGATACATAAAACTGTAAATCAAACTGAAGGAGTACTTAGAAGAGGGGACAAAGAAAGATAGAAGATGAATAATTTTTAAATACAGTGCAACTAGCTGGGTACCAGTGGCTGATGCCTATAATCCTAGCTACTCAGGAGGCTGAGATCTGAGGATCGCAGTTCAAAGCCAGCCCGGGCAGGAAAGTCCGTGAAACTCTTTTTTTTTTTTTTGGGGGGGGGGGGGGGGGGGCCGGTCATGGGCCTGGGCGCTGTCCCTCAGCTCTTCAGCTCAAGGCTAGCACTCTACCACTTGAGCCATAGCGCCACTTCCGGCTTTTTTTTTTCTGGTTATGTGGTGCTGAGGAATCAAACCCAGGGCCTCGTGCATGCAAGGCAAGCACTCAACCACTGAGCCACCTTCCAATAAACCACAAGAAAACTGGAAGTGGCGCTGTAGCTCAAGTGGTAGAGCGCTTGACTTGAGCTGAAGAGCTGAGGGACAGCGCCCAGGCCCAGAGTTCAAGCCCCACAACCAAAAAAAAAAAGAGAGAGAGAAAAAAAAATACAGTGTAACTGTCCATGAAAAGAGCATAAAGAACTCAATGAGCCCCCTCCAACCAATGAGGACCCTAAGCTGTAGCAGTGTAACTGTCCATGAAAAGAGCATAAAGAACTCAATGAGCCCCTCCAACCAATGAGGACCCTAAGCTGTAGTGAGGTAGAGGCACTTGCTTGTCCAGGTTGTGCTATTGATTCAAGCCCAGCTCCAGGTACAAGGGCTATGGGTCAGGGATCCAGGGTCCACATTCTTTATCTTTTTGTCAGTTGTGGGTCTTGAACTCAGGGCCCGGGCACTGTCCCTGAGCTCTTTCCCTCAAGGCTAGTGCTCTACCATTTTGAACCACAGCTCTACTTCTGCTTTTCTGGTGGTTAATTAGAGATAAGAATCTCACAGGGACTCTCCTGCCTGGGCTGGCTTTGCATCATAATCCTCAGATCTCAGCCTCCTGAGTAGCTAGGATTACAGACATGAGCCACCAGTATCCAGCCAGGGTCCACATTTACATCCCACCACCACACTTCCCCTGCTTTACGTGTGCCTGAATCATGGTATCCTCCAATTGGCTGAACTGCTCTGGAAGAGGTTTGGTATTCAGCCTCAAATTCCACAGAGCACCTACAGCTGGATGCATGGCCCAGTGTGATTATAAGTGGAACGCTGGCATCATGTAAAACTTGCTGAAAGGCAGCCGTCATGCTCTCCTAACCTAGATACCATATTCTCACCTGAACATCTTGGCGATGTACTGGGCGGGACCTGAGGCTGAGCAGGTTACAGCACCGATGTCGGCCATGTGTGGAGCCACACATTCCTTTAAGATCTCCTGCAAAAAGAAGGCCACAGGCTATCTGGGCTAAGGCAATTCCCAGTCCCATTCTTTCCACCCAGAAAGCTGCTTCCTGAAGTTTCTGAGAAATGTATATGGCATCAGAAGAACTACCACCTAATTGGGTGGGGGGGGGGGGTATTGATTGGGAGGCGACCAGCAGGCAGAACCTCTATATTCTCTGCTCCCTTAGCTAAAGCTGAAGCTAGCAAGGTATACAGTACCTTGAGGCTCTGGGTGGCAGCTATTACCACTGGAGAGTGAGGGGAGAGGAGACAAGTCATCGCTGTTCCAAAAAATCGAGCAAGGTGGCCCAGCCCCAGGTCCCGCTGCAACCTGTCAAGAAATAAAGTTTTCAAATACATGGGGTAGAGGTGGGGCAGAGGAGCTGATCTTGAGCCTCAGGAACCTACCTAGCCCAGAAGCGCAGGTATATAAAGAACCATACATTTGCAGGGCTCCTCAGATGGCTGTTTAAGTAAAGGCCTATTGTCCATGCAGTAACACGTGTGGTGAGTGAAGGATATGCCATCTTTATTCTTGGCCTGACTCTCTGGTGGACCTCCCAGGGAAAATACTCTTCAAAGTAGTGTTCTCCCTCCATCTCCCCCAGCATTTTTTTTTTCTTTTTTTTTTGGTGCTGGTCCTAGGGCTTAAACTGAACCTGGGCACTGACTCTAAGCGTTTTTGCTCAAGGCCACTTGAGCCACAGCTCCATTTTTGCTTTTTTGGCAATTAATGGGAGATAGGAATGTCTCATCTTTCCCACCGGCTTTGAATACAGATCCTTAGGTTTCAGCCTCCTAAGTAGTAAGGATTATAGGTATGTGATCTACTGGCACCCAGCTTTTACTTTTGACATCTTACTACATAGTCTAGACTACAGACAAGCTTCCAACTTGCTAATGCTCCTGCCCAGCCTTTCAGGTTTTTGTTTTATTGTACTTGTACTCGGGGCCTCCACTTGTAAAGCAAGCCAGCACTTTTTTTGCTTTAGTAACACAGTATCATGTTCTTTTTGCCTGGAGCTAATCTTGGATCAAGGTCCTCCTACCTATATCACTCAAGTTGCTGAAATTATAAACCTGAAAAATTGTATCTGGTTTATTTGTTGATATATGGTCTCAAATTTTTTTTTCCCTGGTTGGCCCTGATTTTTTTTTTTTGGGGGGGGTGAGGGTCATGGGGCTTGAACTCTGGGCTTGGGTGCTGTCCTTCAGCTCTTCAACTCAAGGCTAGCACTCTACCACTTGAGCCACAGCACCACTTCTGGTTTCTGGAGGTAACAGTCTCATGGACTTTCCTGCCTGGGCTGGCTTTGAACCTGAATCCTCAGATCTCAGCCTCCTGAGTAGCTAGGATTACAGGTATGAGCCACCTGGACCAGGCATGGCTCTGATCCTTTATGCTCCACCTCTCAAATACCAAGGATTACAGGCCTATGCTACCATGCCCAGCCTCTTTCAGAACAAAATAATCTGTACTGTTAACATTTATATTAGGTCACATATGAACCACTGATGTAAAAATATGCATTCAGTCACTGAAACCTTGTAACAAATAGTGAGGTGAGCTTGTTATTCCTATTTTTCTGATAAGGAAGTTCAGACACAGAAAAGTCAAGAACTTGCCAAGACTACCCAGCCTAGTCTAGTGATGTGAGGATCCATATCCTGGCACTGCACCTGCAATTCTGCACTTTGTTTTCTCACTATATCTTGGAGTTCTTTTTTCTTCTCTCTCTTTTTTTTTTTTTTTGTCTGTCATGGGGCCTGAACTCTGGGCCTTGGCACTGTCCCTCAACTCTTCAGCTCAAGGCTAGTGCTCTACCATTTGAACCACAGTGCCAATTCCAGCTTTTTCTGCTTATGTGGTGCTGAGGAATCAAACCCAGGGACTCATGCATGCAAGGCAGCACTCTACCACTAAGCCACCATCCCAGGCCCTTGGAGTTCTTTTCATAGGAGCATATACACAACTACTTCCTTGTTTTTCTCCCCCCCCCTCACTTAATACAGGGTCTCCTATGTAGATTACACTGGTGTCAACTCACTATGTAGTACAAGCTAACTCAAATTTGCAATCCTCCTGCCTCTACTTCCTGAGGACTGCAATTACAGTGCTGTACCACCACATCCACCTCTACTTCATCACTTCTCTTGCTCATGACTGTATTTAATCTTCCTGGCTCCACACTGCAATGGGACAGGGGTCATTCTAGCTTTTGGGTTTTGTTTGTTTGTTTATTTTGGCTACTGCCTTCTGCTACAGTATCCTTTTTTCTTTCTTTCTTTCTTTTTGCTGGTCATAGGGCCTGATCTCTAGGCCGGGGCGCTGTCCCTCAGCTCTTCAGCTCAAGGCTAGCACTTTAAGACTTGAGCCAAAGCACCACTTCCAGCTTTTTCTGCTTATGTCGGGCTGAGGAATCAAACCCAGGAACTTATGCATGCAAGGCAAGCACTCTACCACTGAGCCACCTTCCCAGCCCCTGCTGGGCACAACTGTAGGTATGCTCCTATAGAACAAGTCCTGAGAATGACTCCACCACTTCTTATCTCTTCAGTTAAAAGGATACTTGCCTAGGAGCTGTGGCAGCTGTGTGACTACTTAACACACACAGCTTCAGCTTCTAGTTTTGTTTCTTCCCCCCACCTTTTGGAACTGAGGTTTGAGCTAACACGTGATAGTCATGAACTACTTATGCTCTGCCCCCAGCCCTCAGCTTCTGGTTCCTAAAGCAGGGCTGAGACCTTGCCTTGAGTGGCCATTGTGACTAGGGAGACAAACCAACAGACAAAGTGCTCAGCACGGACTAGTTCAGAGCAGGACAGGGACAGCCTTCATGGGAAAGAAGACAGATCCAGATAGGTAGAGCCACTGGTGGAAGCCACCAGATTTAGAGACACTCCCTCCAGTCAGAATGTCTCTTTGTAGGTGGCACACTGACTACTGTGTACTTCCCAATATTATTTCAGGGAAGTGAAATCATGAATGCATGCAGACACAGAAAGCAATAGCAGGATTCAAGACTATGAAGCCCAGAGGATGGAATCATCAGCCCTGATGGAGACTGGTCTGGAAGTGCTGATATACCCTGGTGGAAAAACCTAGTATGCAGGGTGGCACAATCAGGGTGTAGCAAGAATCAAGACCAGAGGTGTGGCTCAAGTGGGAAAACACCATTTGTGAGCAGAAGAAGCCAAATGAAAGTATAAGGCCCTGAATTCAAGCCCTAGTATAAGCAAAAACAAAACAAAACAATACCCCAAACCCTCAGTCCCAACCCAGACTGCAGTCCTTTCAGCATACCATGTGGCTGCTCGCAGCTGGCTGGCAGAACACTCTGGTGGGAAAGGAACTAAACCAGGCACAATCCATTCCCTAGTGCTTCCTAGAGCCAGAGCTGATGTGTGGCAAACTCCATGTGGAACTACCAATGCCAACGAAGCCAGCTGACCTCTCCAGCTGTGCACATCCCTCGCATCTGTATGCAAAGCTAGCAGCCTGGAGACAGGCCTATGGTGCTCCTCTGCCTTATTCTTACCTGACCAGGTTGATATGAGCTTTCTCCATGACCTTTAGCCAGGCCAGTAGGGGCTGTAGATCATTTTCACTGGGAATGTAGTCATATAAGGCCTAGAGGTAAGACACAGTAAGCAGATATGTGAGAAAGAAAGCAGGTCACCAATGGCCCCAGGACACCAGCAGTCACAGGCTGGGACTCCCAGCCCTCCTGACATTCCCTGTTTCGTGAAGTCCTTCGAGTCCTGAGGCTCTAGAAGCAGATACCCGGTTGACTCACAAACTTTCTGTAGTTCTGATAAAAACTAGAGCCCTTCTCCAGGGACATGCACATGAAGAGACACAGTTCATAAACAAATCTGGGAATGGGGGTAGTGGGGGGGGGGGGGAGAGGGGGGTTTCAAGAACCCTGAACAGGGGCTGGGAAGATGGCTCAGTGGTAGAGCGCTTGCCTTGCATGCATGAGGCCCTGGGTTCGATTCCTCAGCACCACATAAGAAAAAAGGAAAAAAGCTGGGGGCTGGGAAGGTGGCTCAGTGGTAGAGTGCTTGCCTTGCATGCCTGAGGCCCTGGGTTCGATTCTTCAGCACCACATAAGCAAAAAGAAAAAAACCGGAAGTGGTGCTGTAGCTCAAGTGGCAGAGCATTAGCCTTGAGCTGAAGAGCAGAGGGACAGCGCTCAGGCCCAGAGTTCAAGCCTCATGACCGACCAAAAAAAAAAAAAAAAATTGAACAAGTTATCTATAACCATGTGACCATAATGAAACCAAAGAGCCAGACCCCAGCTCCAGTGGATACTGAGATGACAACAAAGGCCTGCATAGCTATCTATTGGTCTACTCCACTGGAGCAGCTCAGCCTGTCCACCCTCAACTTGAAGATAGGGAGCAGCTGCAATTCTTCCATCACAGCTTTCTTAGGGACCCACCTGGTAGGGTCTCCTCTCCATCAGGACTCACCGTGATAATCTGGGCGTTGAGCTCTGCTGATAGGGTGCCCAAGCTAGGTTTGGCATGGAAGAGATTGTGGAAGGCCTGCATGGCACAGGCAGTCACCAGCTGAAAGAGACACACAGGATTTGAGAGATAACACAGACCCCACAGCTGCCCTAAATCCCTTGACCTCTCACAGTACCAGATGAGCTACAAAGAAGCCACAGCCTTATACTTAAAATATGCTTCACACATCTAGCTACACTAAGCACTGTCATTTTGTGTATGCAGGTCCTAGAGCTTGAACTCAGGGTCTGGGCACTGTCCTTGAGCTTTTGTTCAAGACTAGTACTGTATTATTTAAGCCACAGCGTCATTTATGGCTTTTTTGGTGGTTACTTGGAGGGAAGAGTTTCTTAGATTTGTCTTCCTGGGACGGCTTTGAACTGTGATCCTCAGATCTCAACCTCCTGAGTAGTCAGAATTGGTTTTGTTTTTTTTTTTGGGGGGGGGGGGTCTGGTCATGGGGCCTGAACTCTGGGCTGGGTGCTGTCCTTCAGCTCTTCAGCTCAAGGCTAGCGCTCTACCACTTGAGCCACAGCGCCACTTCCAGCTTTTTTCTTTTTGCTTATGTGGTGCTGAGGAATCGAACCCAGGGCCTCAGGCATGCAAGGCAAGCGCTCTACCACTGAGCCACCTTCCCAGCCCCTATTTATGTACTTTTTAATGTATATTTGTTTATCCAAAGAGGAAACATATAAAAGGATCTACAGCCAACTATTTGTACCATTAGGAAATGAGAGTTGGGGAAAAAGAGACTTTCAATTATTTATTACTATTGTTTTGCCAGCTTGTGGATGGAACCCCGGACGCTGAACTTGATCTCTACCACTGAACTACAACCATAAGTTTTTTTCTTTGTGTGTGTGGTGTACATGAATGTGCATGCACTGGTACCAGGACTTGTAGTCAGTTTCCCAAACTATTGTTTGGCTTTTTCACACCCAGCTGGTGCTCTACCACTTAGGCATATCGTTAGCCAGTATTCTGCTGGTTAACTGGAGATAGAGTCTTGCAGTTTTCTGCTCAGCCTGGCTTGGAACTGTGATCCTCCAGCCCTTAGCTTCCTGAGCTGAAATGACACTTTACGGATCCATCAGTTCCTCATGCTGACCTGATCTGTGAAGTCAGCTTCTAACTAGACCAGGACCATGAGATAGCTCAGCCATATCCTGACTCGTGGATGATATGATGGATGAATAAGTATCCTTGGTTTTACCTTAAGAGTAGGGTCAGGGAAGAAAGATGCTAGGTCCTGCTGTAAAGACTGAGTTGCTTCAATGTTTAGCAACCTGGTTTTAAACTATTAGGCTCAGACTGTCCTGCTGTCTCAGTCTACCAAATAGCTGGGACTACAGGTATATTCCACTTTGCCCAGCCCTAAGTCCTGCTTTCTGCCTGTCCAGTGGGTACCCAAATGGAACCACTGTGGGACCACCTTCCTTCTTGTGGCCTAAGCTTACCACATGGCTCAAGGTCATGACGCGTAGGAGAGTCTCACTGCAACTCTTCACCAGGCCTTCGGGGAAGCAGGGTAGCACGTCCTTTAGCAGTGTCAGCATGTGCAGCATGGTGGTAGCCTCCTTGGAGCCTGACAGAGAAACAGAGAGATTTGAACTCTGCCTCACACTTGCTAATCTGACAGTCTGCTACTGGAGTTATATCATCCTTGCTTTCTTTTCATTATTTTGTTTGTGTCCATTTTTTGTGTGCTAGTCCTGGGCACTATCCCTGAGCTTCTTTTTACTCAAGGCTAATGCTCTATCACTTCAGCCACTACTTGTTCATTATTTTGGAGATGGAGTCTGGTGAACTTCTCTTCCCCAAACTGGTCTTAAACAAAGATTCTCCTTATCTTAAGCTTTGAGTGGCTAGGATTATAGCTGTGAATCACCAGCATCAGGCAAATGGAGAGTTCTATTACTAATCCTCCTCACCACTTCCCCTACCCGGGCCCAGGGCCTGGCTGTCCCACCTCCAGCCTTCTCAATCTCCTGGATGCAGAACTTGGCGGTGGAGACAGCAGCAGGATGATGAGCAGGGGCCTTTTCACCAAACATGAAGTCACTGCCCTTGAGAACTGAGCATACCCCATGCTGGGCAGCCTTCCGAATCTGAGGGGCAAGAAAAGGGGAAAGGGGATCAACATTCTACCGAATATTGGGTGCCTGTAAATGCTACCAATAAGCAAGCACTGACTGAACACCTACTACATACCCGTTACTCTGCTGGCTTTCTCAGGTACAGAATCCTGAGCTCTCTACTAACTTACCTAATGGCCCAGAAGAAGCCCGGCTATGTAATCTCAGTTCCATTGCCCTTTTCTACCTACCAGAGATTTATCCAGTCAAACAGCCAGTAAATGCAGAGTAGCACAAGCCAGGCACTGTTCTAGGTATTTACAGACGTGAAACATAATAGACAACTCATACTCCACAGGAGAAGCAGAGTAAACTACACATCAGCTGACAGAAAATAATTGGCAAAAAGAAAAAGGTTTTAGAAAACTTTGTATAGAGTGGTCAGGAAGGTGCTATTCCAGTGAAGTGACATTTCAGCATTGATCCTGACCTGGAAGGTAAGGGAATCATCACGTGGACACACAGGAAAGAAGATATAAGACTACCTGTCCTAACTGCTTCTTAGCACAAATGAAGGATTCTGGATTAGTAATTATTTTTCTATGCCCCGAACACAAATTTCTGGAGGAAAAGGTGGTCAGCCCCCATTTACTGAGCATCTACTATATGCCAGGCACTGCATCAAATCTGAAAAACACTGCAGCCTCCTCACAACCCTGCAGCAAAGCTGAAATGACCATCCCTATTTTATAGCCAGGAATCCCAAGTTTAGAGACATGAGTAACTCTCTCAGAGTGCCAACACTGCTGAATCCAAAATCCAACTTAGGATGCCACCCTCCTTGCCAAGACAGAGACATACTAGGAGACTGACAAGTCAACAGGTCACTGGCTGAGGAGGCATGAGAGAGATTCTGAGGGCCTGACATTTATCCCCTGCTGGAGAGAGGCTGACTCAGATTGAAGCCTTACAGGCAGAAAAGAGACGCTGAGCAAGAGCCCAGCACTCAGGGTCATCTCTGTAATCCCACTCACACAGGCCAGATCCTCCCCATCTTCTGGAATGCACTGATCTCACCTTGGGCTTGGCATGCACGGTGAAGCTCTGCAGCCCATGGTATACCTGAAGGGTCAGGGGATATCCCCAGGCCTCCAGGTCTTGCTTCCGCAGGAGGGTGGCCAGGCAGGACAGGACCTTAAAGAAGAGTTAGAGTGTCTCAGGATCACCAGCCTCAGCTTAGAGAGAAAGAGATCCCAGGTTCTCAGCAACCCCAGAAAATCTCAAAGGGATCTGCCTAAGGATCCAAAGTGTCGGAACCCCTCATGGGGAAATGCAGGGGGCTCGGAGAGACATAGACTAACCCATCGGAGGGCAGAGGTGGAGCCACTGCTGGCCTGGGCAGACATGATGTCCATGAAGGCTTTGGAGGTATCTGAGAACTTTTTAATGAGCACAGGGCTGGGCACTCTGTGGGGAGAATGAGAAGAGTTAATCCAGCGGCAACTTTGAAATGCAACTGGCGCAGGTCTCAGTGAAGCTCAGGAAGGAGTTGGACTACCATAGGAGTGCTACTGACTCAGTCACTCAGGAGAGGAGCTCATCCTTCCTGACACTCATTTCAGTCTACTTCCCATGACTTCTCATCTTCCCTCATCTTCTCACTCCTCACAAACTCCTTTCATGACTCGTATCAACCCTCTGTCCCCTCTGTGAAGGTCTGTTCCCTGAATCCTCTCCCTATGCCTTCTCCTTACCCATTCACTTTCCAGAGCTGACATCTCCCTAGGCATGAACATTCACTCAGACCCAAGCCACTCCCACATCCCAATGTACAATACTACCCAGAGACTCGAGTATCTTCTTAAATTGCTATTGTAAATTTACTATTGTAATAAATTATGTATGTAGTACATACATCTTAACTATGTCAAAGTGCTCAATTCAGTAGTAGTAAGTATATTAATACAGTTTTACAATATAGTCATGTGAGAACTCAGAAATCTTCTGGCACTAAGGCTTCAACTCAGGGCCTGTACACTGTCCTTCAGTTTTTTTGTTCAAGGCTAGGGCTCTACCACTTGAGCCATACTTCCACTTCTGGCTTTTTGATGGTTGAGTAGAGATCTGAGTCTCACACGGTCCTGCCTGGGCTGGCTTCAAAGCCAGATCCTCAGATCACAGCTTCCTGAGTAGCTAGATTATAGGAGCCACAGCATCCAGCGAAGAATCTTTTCTTTAGTCTCACTATATAGCCCATGCTGTCCTCAAACATCATCTTGCCTTGCCTCCCAAGTACAGTACTGGCTTTAAGCACAGGTCTTCACACAGTTGCTAGTGTAAGTGCTCTACCATTTAAGCTAGATGAGACTACAGGCCACCAAACACAGCCTTTCAGGTTTTGTAAGATGTGGGGCTTGAACTTGGCCTGGGTGCTAAGCTCTTCAGCTCAAAGCTAGCACTCTACCACTTGAGCCAGAGTGCCACTTCTGATTTTCTAGTGGTTAATTGGAGATAAGAGCCTCACATACTTTCCTGCCTGGCTGGCTCTTAACCAAGATTCTCAGATCTCAGCCTCCTGAGTAGCTAGGATTTTACTGGTGTGAGCCACTGTGCCCAGCTTTTTTTTTTTGCCAGTCCTGGAGCTTGGACTCAGAGCCTGGGCACTGTCCTTGAGCTTCTTTTGCTCAAGGCTAATACACTTACAACTTGAGCCACAGCACCACTTCTGGCTTTTTCTGTTTATGTGGTACTGAGGAATTGAACCCAGGGTGGTTTCATGCATGCTAAGCAGGCACTCTACCACTAAGCCACATTCCCAGCCTCAAGTATCTTTTTTTTTTTGGTCGGTTGTGGGGCCTGAACTCGGGGCCTGGGTGCTGTCCTTGAGCTCTTCAGCTCAAGGCCAACACTTTACCACTTGAGCCACAGTGCCACTTCTAGCTTTTTCTGCTAATGTGGTGCTGAGGAATTGAACCCAGGGCCTCATGCATGCGAGGCAAACACTCTACCACTGAGCCACCTTCCCAGCCCCTCAAGTATCTTTTTTTTTGGTCGGTCGTGGGGCTTGAACTCTGGGCCTGGGCGCTGTCCCTCAGCTCTTCAGCTCAAGGCGAGCACTCTACCACTTGAGCTACAGCGCCACTTCCGGTTTTCTAGTGGTTTATTGGAGATAGGAGTCTCACGGTCTCTCCTGCCCGGGCTGGCTTTGAACCGCGATCCTCAGATCTCAGCCTCCTGAGTAGCTTAGGATTACAGGCGTGAGCCACCAGTGCCCGGCCCCTCAAGTATCTTTTTAGAGAACAATTCTCCATCCTACTTCTCCTGTGCAAATTCCCTTCTTTACTCTACAGACCTGGAGATCACACTATAGCCAGGACTTACCGCTTCAGGACAAGGTTCAATAGGTAAGCGACAGCAGCCAGGGACTCCGGGGACTCCACTGCTTCCATTGTAGTCATCTGAGGGCCAGATGGAGGGGATGTAAATGGATAAAGTGGCACATTACAGTTAGAAAAGCAGAGGCAGAGAAGGGAGCCAAGAGAGCAATTACAACCAAGAATTATTGTGTCAGAGGTTCATAAGCACAATTCAACTGCCAGATAATGTTAAAAATAAAAAATGCCGCCGGGCGCTGGTGGCTCACGCCTGTAATCCTAGCTACTCAGGAGGCTGAGATCTGGGGATCGCGGTTCAAAGCCAGCCCGGGCAGGAGAGACCGTGAGACTCCTATCTCCAATAAACCACCAGAAAACCGGAAGTGGCACTGTAGCTCAAGTGGTAGAACGCTCGCCTTGAGCTGAGGGACAGCGCCCAGGCCCAGAGTTCAAGCCCCACAACCGACAAAAAAAATAAATAAATAAAAATAAAATAAAATAAAAAATGCCCTTAGATATCACATGACTTCGGGCAAACTCAATAGTAAAAAAGGTAAATTATGAATATTCAGATATCACAATGGAAATAATTTTGACCAAGTTGAACCCTTAAAAGGTTCTTATGAGCTGGGCGCCAGTGGCTCACACCTGTAATCCTAGCTACTCAGGAGGCTGAGATCTGAGGATCATGGTTCAAAGCCAACCCCAGGCAGAAAAGTCCATGAGACTCTGATATCCAATAAACCACTGGAAAACCAGAAGTGGCACTGTGGCTCAAGAGGTAGAGCACTCTCTTTGAGCTGAAGTGTGCAGGGACAGCACCCAGGCCCAGAGTTCAAGCTCCACGACCGACAAAAAAAAAAAAAAAAGGTTCTTATGGACCCCAAGACTCTATTTGGGAAATGATATTATTTTATTTTTTAGCACTATTGGGCTCTGAACTTGAGATTGTGACCAGGCAGGTGCTCTCCCACATAGGCCCTATCTCCAGTCTGGCTTGTTTGCTGGCTAATTGGAGACAGAGACTCTAAGACTTTTCTGCCCCAGCTGAGCTGAAAACATCCTTAGATCTCAGCATCCCAAGTAGCTAGGGTTAGAGACATGAATCACCAGTGCCCAGCTTTCTCTCTTTTTTCCACTAGGATCTTCATTTTTGCCAAGCAAGCCTAAACTGCAATCCTGTTTACATTTCCCTCATAGCTGCGATAGCAGGCAGATGCCACTATGACCAGATTTTTTTTCTTTTTGTGCCACCCCTGGGTCTTAAACTCAGCCTGGGTATAGACCCTGAGCTTTTTTGCTGAAGGCTAGCACTCTACCACCAGTGACAGCTCAGGTATTTTGTTTTGTTTTTATTTGGTCAGTCATGGGGCCTGAACTCTGGACCTGGGCGCTGTCCCTCAGCTCTTAAACTCAAGGCTAGCACTCTACCACTTGAGCCACAGCTCCACTTCAGCTTTTTCTGCTTATGTGGTACTGAGGAATCGAACCCAGGGCCTCAAGCATGCAAAGCAAGCACGCTACCACTGAGCTACCTTCCCAGCCCAATGTTTTTATTTTTTAATCAGTGGAGATGGGGTCCTGCAGACTTTTTGCCCAGGCTGGCCTCAAATTGCAATCATTCCAATCTCAGCCTCCTCTGCAGTTAGGACTACATTTATGAGTCACTATATCCAGCATGAAAATTTCTAGAGGATCTTTACACCTAACTCATGTTTTCAGATCAAGAAAGAGAAACCAAGGAGAGTAAATAGAAAGAGTGAATGAAAGCCAGGCACCAGTGGTTCATGCCTGTAATCCTAGCTACTCAGGAGGCTGAGATCTGAGGATCATGGTTCAAAGCCAGCCCACAGGAAAGTCCATGAGACTCATCTCCAATTAACTACCCAAAGCTATAGCTCAAGTAATAGAGAAACGACTTTAAGCCAAAAAGCTCAGGGACAGCACTGAGGCCCTGGGTCTAACCCCCCAAGACTGACACCAAAAACAGTAAGAGAAAAAGGAGGAAAAAAGGGAGGAGGGGCCGGGTGCCATTCAAGAGACTGAGACCTGGAAGATTGTGGTTAGAAGCCAGACTGGGCAGAAAGGTCCAAGTGAGACTCTTTTTTTTTGTTGTTTTTTTTTTGGGGGGTCCGGTCGTGGGGCCTGAACTCTGGGCCTGGGCGCTGTCCCTCAGCTCTTCAGCTCAAGGCTAGCGCTCTACCACTTGAGCCACAGCCCCACTTCCGGCTTTTTTCTTTTTGCTTATGTGATGCTGAGGAATCGAACCCAGGGCCTTGAGCATGCAAGGCAAGCGCTCTATCACTGAGCCACCTTCCCAGCCCCCCAAGTGTGACTCTTATCTCCAATTAACCACTCAAAAACTGGGATCTGGGGGTGGGAAGGTGGCTTAGTGGTAGAGTGCTTGCCTCGCATGCATGAGGTCCTGGGTTTGATTCCTCAGCACCACATAAACAGAAAAAGCCGGAAGTGGTGCTATAGCTCTCAAATGGTAGAGCGCTAGCCTTGAGTTGAAGAGCCAAGAGACAGGGCCCAGGCCCAGAGTTCAGGCCCCATGATCGGGACCAGAAAACAACAACAACAACAACAACAACCAAACTGGGATCTAGCAATGTGGCTTAAATAATAGGAGCTAGCCTTAAGCACAAAGAGACTCAAGGACAGGGCCCAGGCCCTGAATTCAAGCCCAAAAACTGACAAGCAAGCAAGCAAGCAAGCAAGAGAAAGGAAGGAAGGAAGGAAGGAAGGTAGGAAGGAAGGAAGGACCAACACCAAAAAAATAAAGCAAACAAAACTAGGTGTGGTGGTATGGTGGTACAGACCCTGCCTACCATCCTCGCTACCCAGGAAGTTTATAGGAAGGACCATAGTCCAGGCCAGTGCAAGCAAAAAACAAGACTATTCAAAAATAATAAGAAGAGGTTTGGAGCTATAGCTCAGTTTGTAGAGTGCTGGCCAATGAGCAGATGCATCAGTATTGAATTTGAGTCCCAGTCTCAGACAAAAAGAAAAAAGAAGAAAAATAAGGTAAGAAGAAAGGGCTGGGGGCATAGCTTAAATGATAGAGCAACTACAGGCAAGCATAACTCCTGTTCAAAACCCTTGTACTGGCAAAGAAAAAACAAAGAAGGAAAGAAAAAAAAAGGGAGCAAGCAAACAGAAGAATCATGGAACAAATATCACCAGCCTTTCCAAACCACCTGGGAACAATAGAAGTACTTTCACTTGCTCGAAGTCATGGTTCTCTATTGCCACAAGTCAGGGATATCTGTTATCTCTCTAGAACCTGCTTAGCTCCGCTGTGAACACCCACCCCTGTCAAACTCACCAGAGCAGCAAAGTACTCAGTCTCAGTCTCTTTCCCTCCCTGGGAGCGAATCACCTCTGTAACAGCAGCAAGAACAGCACAAATCTGTACAGGAAGGAGAAAGTACCTGTGACATACCTTCATAGCCCCTTTTTCCTTTCTCTTTCATAAATTAATCTCTTGGTAAGTCCAGACAGACAATGTGGAAGCAGCATTTAGACTGGGGTACACATCACAGGGCCTAGTAAACAAGAGGTCTTAGAATATGATTGCCAGATCCCCTCCCAATTATAGTAGTTTTTATGGAAATACATGCATAACTGTGCAAGGACCTATGCACAAGTATGTTCACTGCAGCAACAAATTAGAATAGTCAGGTAGTTATCAACAGGGAATTTATAATGTACTTTAAATTAACAAATGATAGATTTAAACATTGTATAACAATTATTGAGAAGAACGAAGACACAAGCATGGAGATGTCATAATGAAATCCCACTTTGCACAACTAATGTATACTAATAAAAATAATAAAATTATGAACAATTACATGTGATGAGAAATACTGTTCATTGGGGATAATGTTAAATGATGATGCATCTAAAATATAATCATATTTTGGTAAACCCAAATGACAAAACGAATAAAAACAAACAAAAAAGATTTAGCAAAATAAGGCTGGGCATGGTGGTGTATAATTGTAACCCAGCACACAGGAAATTCAGGCAGGAGGAAGGAGTTTGAGACCAGCCTGGGCTACATAAGAAGATCCTATCGCAACAACAATAACAAATGAAGAGTATACCTCTTTTTTTTGCCTGTCCTGGCACTCGAACTCAAGGCCTGGGCCCTATCCCTGAGCCTCTTCGTGCTCAAAGCTTGCACTCTGATTAATGTACCTTCTAGAAAATATAAGTCTTTACTATTGAACAGTGCTGGTCTAAGATACATAGTGACCCATTGTAGTAGCTGCTGCAAAGGAGAGAAGTTTTAAAGTTCTAACGTTTTATTCTCTTTTTTTTTTTTTGGGTCCGGTTGTGGGGCCTGAACTCTGGGCCTCAACTCTTCAGCTGTCCCTCAACTCTTCAGCTCAAGGCTAGCGCTCTACCACTTGAGCCACAGCGCCACTTCCGGCTTTTTTCTTTTTGCTTATAGTGGTGCTGAGGAATCGAACCCAGGGCCACAGGCATGCAAGGCAAGCGCTCTACCACTGAGCCACCTTCCCAGCCCCACGTTTTATTCTCTTTACATCACTTTGTATCATGTAGCATTGTATCATCTTATGTAACATTTGTATCACCTAACACTGACACTTTTCGCTTAAACACAGAAAAATATAAATATGTAACTTTATGTGTCTTTAGGGAAGGAAATGTCTAGAAAATATTCCTACCCTCAAGGGCTTTAACTCCCTAGCATGATAAACATTGTTTTACAAAGAGTTCTTATCTTAGGTGGACAATTTATTGGGGACAAAGAAAAGGAGAAAATGACACATCATCCAGGAATATCAGCTGTTGTCACCAGAGAGAGAGAGAGAGAGAGAGAGAGAGAAAGAGTGGGGGGGGAGGGAGGGCCAACAAGCCTGGCTCCTGCTGTCCTGCGTCTGTCCCTACCTCCTTGTGGGCGGCAGAGTTAGACTCCCAGAAGCGCTGCACTTTGCTGAAGGTGACGTTTGTGCAATCCGACAGGCCACTCAGGAACGTGCCTGAGGACTTCTCGGTGACGGCCAGCTCCGGCTCTTCTTCCATGGGCGTCTCAGGGTCTGCGCGCTTGCCCAGCCGCAGGGACCCCGATTGCAGCTCATTGTGCAACTTCACGGCGTCAACCGTCAGGTCGCTCTTCCCTGAGAACGCGAGGCGGGAACACGGTAAGAAAGCCCCGCACGTCTACCCCGAACTTCCCTGCGGCCGAGAGAACCACCACACCCGCGGCGACACCCTCCAACCCCAACGCAGCAGGCCTTCCCGATGAGCTCCAGACCAGACCTCCAACGCCTGGGACCCGGACCGACCCGGACCCGCCGGGACCCGCCGGGACCCGCCCCTCGGGGAACCGCACGGCCCGGCGCCCGCGCCCGGATCCGAAGGCCCGACTACCTGCGGGCCGGCTGAAAAAGCGGCTGCGGGCGGCCTGGCGGTGGCGGCAAATGCTGGGGTTGCTGTCGCTGCTGTGGCCTTTCTTCCAGCGCTTCAACTTGGCCGACACCCCGGAGGGCAGCTTCCCGGAGCGACCCATGTGGACTAGACGTGGGCCAAACTGAGGCTGATCTCAAGACCGGCTTTCGGCGAAGCAGAACTACGCGCGGATCCCCACGTGGGTCCTCCACCGGCTTACTGCCTCTTCCGGTGTCGTCACTTCCGGATTGGCGTCCGTCACCATGGCAAAAATAGTCAACATCCGCCTTCACTTTTCCATCAAGTGTCAGAGACCTGTCGCAAGGAAAGAAGTTCTGTTGCTAGGCATCCTTGGGGTTCCTACCTCAGGACCATGGTTCTTGGCCACTGGAGTAGGCCTTATAGAACAGTTCCGCCGGGCGCCGGTGGCTCCCGCCTGTAATCCTAGCTACTCAGGAGGCTGAGATCTGAGGATCGCGGTTCAAAGCCAGCCGGGGCAGGAAAGTCCGTGAGACTCTTACCTCCAATTAACCACTAGAAAACTGGAAGTGGCGCTGTGGCTCAAGTGGTAGAGCGCTCGCCTTGAACAGAAGAGCTCAGGGACAGCACGTGAGCCCCCAGAGTTCAAGTCCCACAACCAACAACAACAAAACTCTTTTAATTACCTGTTGTGGTAGCATACATCTAGAATTCCAGCACTTGGGAAGGAAAGGAAATGAATTTGAGGCTATTCTGGGCTACACTGTGACACCCTAGCTCCAAAAATCAAAACAATGTGTGTGTGACCCGCACGCGCGCCAGTGCCAGTACCAGAACCAGTGCTTGAACTCGGGGCCCGGGTACTCTCCCTTAGCTTTTTCATTCAAGATTGGCACAACTATCACTTAAGGAACACTTCTTGGGGTTCCTGTCCTGGTTGGCTTTACATAACATTGAGATCTTCAGATCTCCTGAGTAACTAGGATTACAGGCATGAGCCACCAGTGCCTGGCCAAAATTTTTTAAGTTAAGCGAAGAAACAAATTTACTTGAACAGTTAAGGGAGTGACTAAAGTGGCAGAGCACCTGACACTCAAGAATGAGGCACTGAGGGCTGGGAAGGTGGCTCAGTGGTAGAGCGCTTGCCTTGCATGCCTGAGGCCCTGGGTTCGATTCCTCAGCACCACATAAGCAAAAAGAAAAAAAAGCCGGAAGTGGCGCTGTGGCTCAAGTGGTAGAGCGCTAGCCTTGAGCTGAAGAGCTAAGGGATAGCGCCCAGGCCTAGAGTTCAGGCCCAATGACCGGACCCCCCCCCCAAAAAAAAAGAATGAGGCACTGAATTCAAACCTCAGTACTACCAAAATAAATAAATGAAGCAGTGAGAAACGAATAACTTGAAACAAAGCCTATTGAGATCTGAGTGAAAATCAATTTGGCCTGCAGAAAAAAATAAAAATCCCCAATGAGGGGCTGAAAAATGTGTCCAAGTGGTAGAGTACTTGCCTAGCATGAATGAATCCCTGGGTTCAATTCCTCAGTACCACATAAACAGAAAATCCTGGAAGTGGCACTGTGGTTCAAATAGTAGAGTGCTGGCCTTGAGCAAAAAAACCCTCAGAGACAGTGCCCAGGCCCTGAGTTCAAGCCCCAGGACTGAAAAAAAAGTTCCCAATGATATTCTAAGACTTGCTTTACAAATTAAAACCACAACAAAATGCACCTAATAATCCACCATAGCTGGTAAAATTGAGAAGACTAGCATTACTAAAGTAGGTACAGATGTAGAGTAACTGACTACATGTTAAAAAGGATATAGCCACTTTGGGAAACTGTGGTGGTATTTACTAAAACAATATATGCCTACTCTATGATCCAGCAATGCATTCCTGAATATACACTCCGCAGAAATATATACTTGCATGCAAAAGAGAAAAAGACACAGAAGAATGTTCATAATACTGCAAATGAACAGATGGTTCATCATCAATTTTGGAATGGATATACTGATATGAAAACTAAAGCATTCAACTGTATTGTATACAAGAGTATATTGATAGATAATGGACTATTGTAGCATTCAACTATATACAACTTCTGCATAGGGCATACACTGAGAAAGAACATGCTACTGCTATGTACAACCACATATATGATTTGAGTTGAATGAAACATTTTAAGCACAAATCATGTATAAAGCAAGATTCCATCTAAATGAAGTTCAAAAATAAGCATAATCTGCTATGTTAGAAGTCAAGATCACAGACCACTGTGAGGGTACTCATAACTAAGAAGTGTTACAAGATTTGTGATTATATTCTAATTATTATGGGATTTGTATGGGTGTGCATATTGAGTAACAATTTGCTGTGAATATACACTTGTCTCTATATCTATCTATCTAGCTATCTATCCTATATATAAATATAGCCTATATTTCAGGGGTGGACTAAAAATGAGTCTAGCCCAGCACTGGTGGCTCATACCTGTAATCCTAGTTACTCAGGAGGCTGAAATCTGAGGATTAAGGTTTAAAGCCAGCCCAGGCAGAAAAGTCCATGAGACTCTTATCTCCAGTTAACTGCCAGAAAACTAAAAGTGGAGCTGTGGCTCAAAGTAGTAGAGTACTACAGCTTTGAGCTCAGGCCCTGAGTTCAAGCCCCATAACCCACCAAAAAAATGAGTCTATAAGAGCAGTAAGAGATTAAAAATCACCAATGTGAGAAAGCTTTGTTGCAAAGAACACAGAAGACAGCTTAGACTATCTTGAGACCTCATCACCATCCTCCTTGGATGGACTTGGTTCCTGGGCCATAGGCTGAGACCTAGGTGGTAAGTCTGAGAAAAGGGAAAAGGGAATGGGTGGACTTGTAGGGAAGAGGAAGAAGAGTGTGGAAACTTGTTTTTTTTTTGTTGTTGTTGTTGGTCATGGGGCTTGAACTCTGGGCCTGGGCGCTGTCCCTCAGCTCTTCAGCTCAAGGCGAGCACTCTACCACTTGAGCTACAGCGCCACTTCCAGTTTTGTGGTGGTTTATTGGAGATAGGAGTCTCAGGGTCTCTCCTGCCCAGCCTGGCTTTGAACCGTGATCCTCAGATCTTAGCCTCCTGAGTAGCTAGGATTACAGGCGTGAGCCACCAGCTCCCGGCACCATCACTAGTTCTGTAACCTTGAGCAAATCACCTTGCTCTCTGAGCTTCACTTTTCCGTATCTGTAAAAGGAATATGAGAATACCTGAGAACTGAACAAGATTGTGCATATAAGGCACTGCACACAGCCTGTTGCACAGGGAGCAGGCACTAAATGTGAGCTGCCACTACCCAAACACTCTTCCTGGGTTCCACACACCTCATCTGTGACTTAAATCAGAAGGATACAGTAGGTGATTGATCTCATTTTACAGACAGGAAACATGGGTCCAAGGACATTTCCAAGAGTTCAGGGGCTAGCTGATAGGCAGGAGCCCTGAGATCCAACTCTTAGCTAGAAATAACCTCTCAAGCTAGTGCTCTAAGAATCATCTGTGAGGCTCCAGTGCAGCGAACAAAACTGTAATACCCAAAGCACCAAGGCCTTGAGAGCAAAAAGTTCAGTTGTAAATTGGTATATTTGTAATCTGTTAGGACAGGAAGAAAGGGAAATTGAGGGTTAGCCTCTTGCCCAGATAAAGAGGAAGCAGATGGCCTGGGTGTTTAACTTAGGCTCCTACTCTGGGAAAAGGGGGAAGGGAAGATCTCTATTGCCCTGGGCAGTGTATTAAGCCAAAGCTGGTGCTCCTGCAGCTAAAATTGAGACTGTACACAGTTAAAGCACAAGCTTTGAGCTAGGAAGAGTGAGTTGGAGAAACATCCCCACTGCCCACTGTGTTGAACTGAGACAGGTGGCTGAATTTTCTAAGCTGCTGTTTTCTCATCTGAAAACAGATTTGCTGTTTTGAGGCTATGAGGAGATAATGTCCCTGAAGCGCCTGCTTAAGGAAGGTGGAGATAATCCTATCAAGTCCCCTAGCTTTGAGTGCACAAGTGCCCTTATAGAGTAGGGTGGAGAAGTATGGGGTGCAGTGACAGTCACTTTTCAAAGCAGGGGAGTTCTAAGACTAGTTGGTCAACTGAAGTGTGGCTGTTGCTGGTGAGCTGGCTTTCAGGAGTTTGGTCATAGATGCAGATTGTTCTTGTTCAGCAACAGGAAGATCAGTTCTGCTTTATTAAATGGTTCAAAAGGAGTTGGGCGCTGGTGGCTTACCCTTGTAGTCCTAACTACTTAGGAAGCTGTGATCTGAGGACTTCAGTTTGAAGCCAAACCAGGCATGAAAGTCCTTAAGACTTGATCTCCATTAAACAGCAAAAAGATGGAAGTAGAGCTATGGCTCAATTGGTAGAGCACCAGCCTTGAGCAAAAAAGCCAAGGGACAGCACCAAGGCCCTGAGCTCAAGCCCCAATACCAGCACAATTAAAAATGTCATCCCTTTCCCTCAGCTGGGCGCCAGTGGTTCATACCTGTAATCCTAGCTATTCAGGAAGCTGAGATCTGAGGATTGCAATTCAAAGTCAGCCAGTGCAGGGAAGTCTGTTAGATTCTTATCACCAAAAAACTACTCAGAAAAAGCCAGAAGTGGGCTGGGAATGTGGCTTACTGGTAGAGTGCTTGCCTAGCATGCATGAAGTCCTGGGTTCGATTCCTCAATACTGTATAAACAGAAAAAGCTGGAAGTGGCACTGTGGTTCAAGTTGTAAGTGTACTAGCTTTGAGCAAAAGAAGTTCAAGGACAGCACCCAGGCCCTGAGTTCAAATACACACACACACACACACACACACACACACACACAGACAAAAGGCCACGTGCCAGTGGCTCACGCCTATAATCCTAGCTACCCTGGAGGCTGAGATCTGAGGATCACTGTTCACGGCCAGCCGAGCAGGAAAGTCTGTGAGATTCTTATCTCTAATCAACCACCAGAAACCAGATGTGGCACTGTGGCTCAAGTGGTAGAGCTCTTGCCTTGAGCTGAAGGGCTCAGGCCCAGAGTTCAAGCCCCACAATCACCACCACCACCAACAACAAAAAACAAAGAAGCTCAGAGATATAGTGTACAGGCCTTGAGTTCAAGACCCAGGACCAGCAAAATAATAATAATAGTAATAGTGGTAGTCGTAGTATAAGTAGTAGTAATAATAATAATAACTCCATCTCTTCTCCAAAATAACCCAAACAAACTTTTAAAGGTGACTTCTTTTTTTTTTTTTTTGGGTCCGGTCGTGGGGCCTGAACTCTTGGCCTGGGTGCTGTCCCTCAGCTCTTCAGCTCAAGGCTAGAACTCTACCACTTGAGC